GTCTCATGTTACCAGTAGTGATAAGGATGCAAGCAAAAAGCAGGGTAGAGAAAAACCAGGCAGCAGGGAAAAGGAGAGAGCAATGGTTCTGTGGGCACCACCTGTAAAACCATTCCCTCTTAGGGGGGTTGTCTTGTAATTTTTCCCCTAATCTGTGAACCTCGTAACTTTCATGTTTGCCAAAGCAAGCATAATGAATTCACAAAACTCGATAGACTGTTATCCCTTAAGTTTAACTGACTTTGTGTAATACCGTGATCATTAAGTGTGCCGTTAATTTAAAAAAAAAGTTTCCTTTATTTATTGAACGGCGTATACAATGAGCTTACATGAGGACAATTTTTAAACATTTTCTAGGTTTCTTGCTGGAGGTGAACAGAGACCGCACCATAGGTATCTGTGTGCCCCCAATTGGACAAATGATGAACTACACTGCAGTTTAAAAAACTCTGGTATGTTCACTGTGGTCATGGTGCAACATTTACTGAGAGGTTTGCCTCAGATTTATGCTTCTTTTCAAACGTGAATGTTACTGACACAAACCAAATAATTCAGGCAGCGTCAGCCTTGTATAGAGAGATTCATACTATAAAATGACACTGCGGCTGTGAAGTGAAAATCTAAATGACTAAAACAATTTTTCAAACACTTTTTTAATCATTGCAGAAAGACAACTGTTTCAAGTTACAAATAAAAAAAAAAGAAAAAGAAAATGTAACGTTTCCCCCCCATGAAATGAACACACACCCACACACACATGAAATAATTTACGTTTTATCACACATTGTTAAATAAATAATATTTATACAAATATGTAATTTTTTCAATTTTTCTCAGAAAGCTGATTTAGCACGCTGTGCTTCTCCCAATGCAGAATTGCACATACAGTACTGCCCTGCTCCTCAGGGTATACAGGTTATGGAGTAGTTCAGCATGTGGAAGCATGACAGGTGTGACTGGCAAAGGCATTGCACTGCCCTCAAAGCAACAATACACAGGCATCATCTTAAGGCCATTATAAATGGTTTAGCCTGTGCGTGTTTGTACACCTCCTCTTCCTCAGTAACCTGCTTGCAAACCTGCTGCCCATGCTACATCAAAAAGAAGCCGGTGTATTGATGCTTTGAGAGTACAGAAAGAAGGCGATGTTAATGATACATTCCCATCTTGTTTTTGTGATAGTAAGTCAAAGAACTGATATTGTCTATCTAAACATTTTTCTTCCCACTCCCACATTCTTGCTGTTTTTTTTTTACTACTATCATGCGGACATGATCTACAGTCTGTGTCCCGTTGTAACAAGTAATAAGCACCAATAAAAACTTTCCAATTTAAACTCCTACTATAGTCTCTGTTGTGTGACACTACACAAAATCTACATTAGTTCAAATAAAATCATGAAGTTGGTTGCATATTAGTAACATTGTACCACGTCACCTCCCTAGAGTTTTAAAAATAATATGGCATGGTGTGAAAGTCATCTGTAATATAATATTTCAAACAGTGTTTTCAGGTGGTCCTTCAGTGAAGCTGATGCAGCTCTCTGTTTTGCTAACACTTCTTTAAACAGCTAATGAGTTAATGAGTAGTCAGTGAGCAATGAGTTAGGCCTACCACAGTTGGCCCCTTATCTCTTAAAATCTACTCTAATACTTTTTAATAATCATTCAGCTTTGGCAAAAATGTTACTTTTTGTTTGTTCTTCCAGTGCTGTTTCAGACAGAAATCCAGAAAAAAACCCTCTCAGACCACCACCGGCCAGAGAAATGCTGGATCGCCAGTTGTTTATGAGGTGTAGCCGGGGAAAATAGTTGCCACTGTACACTTCAACATCTGTAAATTCAAACAAAGAAGCTCTAAGAATTTTATGGCTTCTGTGCACTTACAACTTTGGGGATTTTCAGAGGTAAGAATGAAGAAGAAAGTTGCGAAGAAAGGCAAAAAGAAGAGTTACCAGCGTTAGTAAATGTCACAGAGAGGAACATTTTCTCTTTCAGAGTTCTGAATAATCCACTCAATAGCATCCCAACCCTACAGATTCACAGAGAGAAAGAAAGAAAGGTTAAAAACAAGACCAAGGCCCAGAGACTGGCCAGTGAACATCATGGTGGGGTTGTAAACCACTGACTGTGTTTCTGCCAGAGTGGTAAAGAAACTAGCAGAGAAAGCAGAGGCCCACTTAGAAGACATGCAAAGACTGTATTATTTGAATCTGCATTCATCATCAAATCAGGGTGCAAAAGACAAATAAAAAGACAAACATATTATGTGTTACCTTCCTGGCGTTAGCTGACATACTCCTGGCCATCATGGCTTCCAGGTAGCTGCCCAGACTGACTCCCTTCACTGTAATGATGGCTTCCTGGGTCAGGACAGTCCTGAGCAGAGAGAGCACAGGCGATGGCAGAGACATCGTTAAACAGAAAAACATTACCGTAACATCTGGTTTCTGCAAAAAAAATAGTGTCACATTGATTCTGGGTCCTATCTCTTAGCCCTTTAAAAATGGACTGATTGTATTCATTCTAAACACACGCAAATAAAATAAAAGTTAGACTACTTACACCTCAGGATTTTCTGGGTGTGGTCTGTATAGAAGCCTCTCATCCACAGATATGAGGTTAGTTAGAGTGATCTGGAAAATAAAAGAGTAGATGGTGACAAAGTCTGTGCCACACTTTGTTTAAAAGCATTTATCAAGCTGCAGGCCTCTGTATTAACTTACATTTGTTGAGCACAACTCCATCTTTTTCTCCTCTGGATCAACTATGGAATGTTCCTTCACATAGGTCTGTGTCTGGTTGGTTCCCAGTATCTACCGACAGAAATATACAGCACAGACACACTAAATCACACCAGCAATCAAACCTGTACTGGCAACAGCCTAATTACTGTTTGTAGTCACTTCAGGTGAATGAATTGTTGTGCTGTCATTCCTTTGAAACACTTTAACAGAACCCCTGCAAGACATTGAGAACCATTTTATATGTCTGTATCTGCTGATGACTGACCGCTCTGACGATAGCCGGTAGGCCCCACTCTGTGCTGAGGAGTCTGTGGCTGTGAAGCCGGCCCTCTGTGTCCAGACTGCGGTCCAACACGTCCACCCCGATCACATTAGGGTTCATGGGGTTGGGGTACTTCCTCATAGCAGCCTTGATCACCGTCTCCCAAGGGTAACTGCACACAGACCAGTACAAGATAACGTTTAAATGTGGTTACAACAGCAGCCATCAAAAATCTTCCATTGTTGGTTTCTGAAAGACACACTCTGGCTTGGACAGGTGTGGTTAGTGATCATCCTTGAAACATCATCAGTGGCATGCCTCCTGGTGTCAAGCCCATATAAAGACTTACCATCATGACTTAACATAGAGCAGACTGACTGGAGATATGGAGCCATGAGCTTCACCGTTTAAAGCACCGGGTTACATTCAGTTAAAGACAAGGACATGCCGGCTCAGTGTGCTGACCAACCTGAAAACATGCTCCGTGCTCCAAATCTTCATTTTATATACCAGTCTGTTGACCTTATCGTGGAACAAAACGCCCTTTTCACCGCACCATTATAATGAGGAACTAGCTCCAGTAATGGGAGAATGAGGCCTGTGATGGCAGAAGCTCACGAACATCAATGCAGTGAGTCCAGGGAACACATCCCAGCTTTTCTCCGCATATCAGCTTCGCGTAAAGACTGCGCAAAACACCCTGCGATCCCCGCGTCACGGCGACGACAGGCAGATGGGCGGTAATGGATGAATTCAAGTAAATCGTCCCGCTAGGACACAAAAGAAGCCGGTGCAACTGCGGAGGCAAGTAGCGTCAAGTCACATAGTGAGATACAGGAGTCAGGTCGCACATTTCAGAATAAAATCCTTGCTCGAGTGTCCTGATCAGTCGACGACACTGGTTTTACCGACATCACTTAGAGTATGTGGACGATCTCATGGAGATATACAGTTCATAAACGTTAATTAGCATTAATCTTTTTATTAGTGTCAGAATTTTTCTATATGAATGAATGTACTCGTAATGAACAGCGCCCTAAACTGCAATCATATCTCTTAATTTGTATCATTAATGGCGTTTATACAACTCTTTAATGCCCTATGATGCGACACTTTCAATGAGTGTATTTCAATGAAATTTCTGCGAAGCGTACCGCTCTTCCTGTCTGACTCTGCTTGTGTCCGGCTGACTTGACTAAAGCTGATGAAGCGCTTGTTGCTGCATCCGTCTCAATTTGTGCGCATGTGCAAAGCATCCTTCCCTCATCCACCGACAAGTGGCAGCAAAGGAGCGGGGTTGAGTCAAGCTGCACGAAGGAGACCGTAAACCTAACCGGAAATAAAGGGAAAGTCCTTTCCAATAAAAGCCCAAAGTGTGCTATTAAAAAGGTGAAAAAAGAAAAGAAAAAGAGAAAAACAACAAACCAAATAATAATAATAATAATAATAATAATAATAATAATAATAATTATTATTATTATTATTATTCTCCAAAAGTTGATTCTGTTCATCTGGTCGTAGCGTTTTCAGTGGGAGAAACGTTTCGTCACTCATCCAAGTTACTTCTTCAGTCCTAGCTGACTGTAGGTTTTCCCAATCTTATAATCAGTACACTTGCATAATGACTGAAACCAGCCCACCGAAGGAACAGTGGGCTGGGGGGTCAGTTCCTTAATCTTAATGGGAACTTCATGGGAACGCTACGTCCAGATGAACAGAATCAACTTTTGGAGATTTACTTACCTGGATGATTGAGAATGCATCAAGACGAAACTATTATTATTATTATTATTATTATTATTATTATTATTATTATTAGTAGTAGTAGTAGTAGTAGTAGTAGTAGTAGTAGTATCATTAATATCATATAATATTATTATAATAATATATGATCATTGGGGGTGGGGGTGGGGGGGCAATCAGTTGGGAGCAAAATCTTATTATTTTTGAAATATAACCGGAAGTACAACATAATAACTGTTTGGATTTACGCTCGTGTTGTTGGTATTCATAGAAGCAGACGCGCAGTGGAGGCTAGTATGGTCCCTTAACGAGAATTTCGTGCCATTGCCGTTCATTCAGCGGCCCGTCTGTTTCACACCAAATAACGAAACAATTCATCAGGCCACATAAAAGTCTATCGGGAGATTGGAGGTCGGATTAACGCGCATTGCGTGACCTTGCACTGAATGTAAAAATAGAGGGATTTTCTTTTAAAGCACCGACACGGTAAGGAAACGAGCATCCTCATCCGCGCGGAGGTGAAGGCGAGACAAATGTCGCTATTGTGGCCTACTGTGCGATGCATGCAGACGTTGAGTGTGAGATCGTGTGTTTTGTGGAAAGCGTTATTTTAATGGCGCATAGATACAATCGACTGTGAGTTTTTGAGAGATCAGGCTGACAATAAGACTGCTCGTGCAGCCCGTGGTTGAAGGCCGGGATTGCATGCCGCAGAAAGCAAACCCGTGACACAGAGTGGGCTTTTTAAAACGCATGCAATAAAGCTTTTAGAGATATGCGTATTAAATACGAATCTTAATTTCCATTTAAATTGCAATTATTGTCTTATTCTCTGATCGGTTTTTGTGTAGAGCGCGTGCAGGAATATGGCAGATGCTGCAGCATCGCTTGATCCGCTCCGGGCCTGAGAGAGAAAGGGGAGGAGGGGGAGGTAGGGGGTGGTGCACCTTTTTAGGAGCGTTAAATCACACCCTGCGTCTGAATGTGCAATCCACAGTCAGAGTAATTCATCCTGGCTCTCTTTACAGGAGATGAGGCATTTCATTGTAAAAGTATGTAAGGCATCTTCTCGTTAGAAGAGTCACCAGGTTGGCTGTTGGTCGTGTTCAAACCAAAAATCTGCTGACACATGCGCTCTACCAGCCTGTGTTCCCAGCTTTTGTGCGCAATGAAGCCTATTGCCCAACTATCAAGGCCTCATGGAGCACCAAACTCCTATCATATAACTGACCTCCCGTTGGCCTATTGATCTATTTATTTGATTGCTTTTCTGAGGATTGGTGTTAAAATAAAATTATTGCCATTATTAAGATGTCTTTTCCCTGTTATTGCTCTTCTACATAATGACACCACTCAACCTCAGTGAATTTAGCTCTGTTTATTAAATGGTTGTCTGTTTTCTTTCAGGTTAACTACCCCAGCCATGGAGATCGTCACACATTTAATCAACGACACCATAGAGTTCTACAAATGGACCCTCACTATTGCAGGTAATATCTTCAAAACATCCGGCATGCCTGAGAGCATCTGTGTGAGATATTTTAAGATCAGAGAAGTTGTATTTATCAGTGAGTAAATGCACATTCACTTGCCTGTGTGTCCAGCCTTAGATATTATGTATCACTCTGCAGGGTTCTTGCTGCTGTGAGTCATTATAGAGGGAGTTAGTATAACAATAGTGCATCACTGGCAATTTGTTAACAAATTACTCAATACTTTAGGACATATAGTAGCTATATATGAACTGCAATATACCGCAGTATGTATTTATGTTGCTACACCCAGTAACAGGCCCTGTACCCTTTATCAACCCAGGATATACTTGGATGCTCTCTCAAAGTATCACCATCAAGCTGACCACTGGGCATCCACCTGCAGGATATTATCTGTTATCTGCACTACTACTCAGCATGAGCACTCCTCTTAAAATAAACTGAACCCACGCTGCGTCAGTGCAATGCAAATATTACGAATATTTATGTAACTCTATGAAAACATCTTTCTGTCAGACAAGCGTGTGGAGAAATGGCCCCTGATGGACAACCCCCTACCCACGCTCGCCATCAGCACCTCCTACCTCCTCTTTCTCTGGCTTGGGCCCAAATACATGAAGAACAGAGAGCCCTTCCAGCTCCGCAAAACCCTTATTGTCTACAACTTCAGCATGGTCTTCCTCAACTTCTTCATCTTTAAAGAGGTAGATTGTCACATTGTTTTGATGTTTACTTGCACGCGTCCAATAACTGCAGTCGGTGAATTAAATCTGATGTCCTCTTATTCCAGCGTTAACCGTGCTCCCGAGTTGACACGTTACAGCAGCCGTTTTGTCCTCTGGGTTTAGACTAACCTAATTACAGTGTACTCATGCTCTTGTCTGCACTCCATCTCTTCTTTTCTCTGCCATTATCACTGTATGCTTGATAGCAGTGACTCAATGGACACTCTTGTTTTTTCAGCTGTTTATGGCAACGCGAGCAGCCAGATACAGTTACATTTGTCAATCGGTGGATTATTCAGATGATCCCAATGAAGTCAGGGTGAGTGTTCAGAGCGTGCACACACACACACTTGCATAGATAAACTCTGAATATAGTAGTGGGACTTCAGCTGTTTATGTAACTTACTATCTTAAGACTTTTGTGTCTATAATAATTAGTTTCCTTGGAACCAGATCCCTACCTGTTAATAATTCTCCACTGTACCCATGGTTCAGACAATTACAGTCAGCCTGCCAGGGACACGTCACTCAGAGAGCTTTTAGAAACATGAGCAGCGTCCATACATTTAAAGCATGTTCCTGTTATCAGAAAAAAGTACAAGCCGGAGTTGAATGGTGTTCAGTTTCACCTTCCTTCCTGTTGCTCCATGACGTAGTTTGAAACAGAAACCACAAGTGAGTCCGTCTCGGGTCGAGGTTAAGATTTCCAAAATCAGAGTTCACGCGCATGTAGCTCTTGATCATATATGTTCATATGTTAACAGTCTTTTTCTTCTCCTTCTTTATTTCTGTGGGAGTCAGGTGGCAGGAGCTCTGTGGTGGTATTTCATCTCCAAGGGCATTGAGTATCTGGACACTGTGTTTTTCATCCTGAGGAAAAAATTCAACCAGGTCACCTTCCTGCATGTCTACCATCATTGCTCCATGTTCACGCTCTGGTGGATTGGCATCAAGTGGGTGGCAGGAGGACAGTGTGAGTAGCTCATAACACAGCAGACATCAGCTATATGCTGAATTTATCAGCATTGCTGTTGATAAAACCTTCACCGGCTCTGTAGTTTTGTGGTTTATACTGGGTGAGGGCTGGGAAGAGACACAAATCCATTGGTGGATGCTTCAGGAAGCTAAACCAAACATGTGGAGCTACGTGTCTATAAACCTTTTATTCACTACTGGTAAATGTATTCATTATTGTTTTTTGTTGAGCTTACTTTTTTATAATACGCATCTGCATATTAACAGCCATGCTAGCAACTCTGTAAAGGTATACCACAGGCAGAGGAGCACTTTGAGCTAAGTGCTAATGCCAACAAGGCAACATGTTGATAGTAATAGCATTTAATCGCTGCAGTTTACTATTGGGCACAATGTTTGTCATGTTCACAGTATGTATTTAGCATGATAACACGCTATCACTTGCTAATTAGTAAACACAGGTGCAGCTGTATGTATATTTGCAAGCAGATGATTGTGACTGAGAGTAAACTGAGTCTGAATGCTGATGAGGAAGCTAGATGACAAATTTCACTGAAACCCACAGGCATAGTGTTGTCATATGTAGCTTGGATAGTTTAATCTGGATTCATGGGACCCATGGACCTACACTTGTTTGTATCTCCCACCCCCTCAACTATTGTCTTTTTATTGGATACAGACAGCAGGAGTTCAAAGCAACTCAGTTTAAGATTTTTTTTCAACTATAGTAAGCAGAACAAAATTAAAAACTTATTGTTTCTTCTACTGCAGCATTCTTTGGTGCACATATGAATGCGATGATCCATGTCCTGATGTACCTGTATTACGGTCTTGCCTCCTGTGGACCTAAGATCCAAAAGTACCTGTGGTGGAAGAAGTATCTGACAATTATCCAGATGGTAGGTTGATTTCCAGGGTGGCTGATTTTGAAGTTAAATATATTTATTGTAGGGATCATTTGACTGAAAATCATTCTTCTTGCTATGAAAGAACAGTGAAAACACAATATGGTGCAAAAGCATAACTCTTGTTCTCTCTTTGGGGCTCAGATTCAGTTCCATGTCACCATCGGTCACACGGCCTTGTCTCTCTATGTCAACTGTGATTTCCCCCACTGGATGCACTACTCCCTCATCTGCTACGCCATCACCTTCATCGTCCTGTTTGGCAACTTCTACTATCAAACCTACCGCCGCCAGCAACCCGCACGTCGCGACGTGTCCTCTTCCTCCAAAGCCGGCAAGGCTGTTTCTAATGGCACCCTCAACGGCCTCAGCAAAGCTGCCAACGGAGCAATGCTGATGGGGAGCAAAGAGGAGAAACCCCAGGAGAACTCTGGGAGGAGAAAGAGGAAAGGACGAGCTAAAAGAGATTAAAGGAGGGTGAGTCAAAGAGGTTCAGGTGAGGTAGGGCCTTGCTTGGTTTCTAGGCTGATCGTGCTAAAACATGAAAGACTTACTTTGAGGAAGATTTAGATAAGTGGATGATCAGGTGGGATGAGTTTATTTAAGCCATGATCTGAGTTGTATATAAAATACGAGGCAGGCATTTTTTGTTAAGAGAGGACCATTCTGTTACTAAAAGGTGATCACTGGTCATACACCGGATGACCATTATCACAACACCAAATACAACATTTTCTGGCGTCAGACAGAGCTTTGTATTCCTTCTCTTTATTGTGGCGCTGAGTAGACCTGCTTCCATGAGTGACTTTTAGCTAGTTAAAATCGAAGCCTGAAAAGTGAGAAAGTTGCATTTAATGCATCTGAGCTGGTAAAAAGCAATTAGAAACTGCTATACTGAGACAGGAATACACATGATAACAGAAATGTCTATTTATATTTGAGTGTATTCTTATTTTTTGTTGCTTACCTGTACAGATACAAAGCTGACGATAACGTACACTATCATGTCAGTTTTGTCCTCATATTATTTACACGTTGTTGACGTTGCACAGGTGAGACTTTGAGTTTACAGCACCTGTGTGCTGCAAACTGACACTC